TTTTACCCAAACTCATAGTATAGAGAAGAGACAAAAGTAGAGATGTTCCCATTAGATAAGAATTGGAGAAAGAATTCCCAAGAAGGAGAAGAGGGCAAATGCCCCAGGGTAAGAACTAATCTCATTTTCAGTTGGGCTTGGGTCAAGGTGGGAAGTGAGTTGACCGGAAACAACAGACCAGACAGGATAGGTCTTCTAAAACAACCAGGCTGTAGCTGTCTGTCCAAGATGGCTAGGAGAAGTTGTAAATAGATGGGTCTGGGAGACCACTGAGCCCACATGAATGTACATTGCATTCAGGGGCCCTTTGAGTCTCCATTTACCCTAGATTGTGGTTTGGGGGATACAAGGATGCTGAAACCATGCAACACCAAATTAGATGAGATAGCTAAAAATGGAAAGACCTCTCCTACATGCATATACTTTAGTGACTATGGGTTTTAATCAGCCCATGATCACAGAATACCAAGTAAGATAAGTCACATTGGGCAGACATCAGCACAGAGGGTGCAGGAATCAAACCAGACCAACTTCTCTGGTGGCCAGCAGTGAGGATAGCACACAGGGCATCTCTTAGCCCCTGGAGGACATCAGTGCTGCCTGCAAACATCCAGTCATCTTGGAGTGGGACACACAGACTCTTCATGTGAAAAGGGAAATAACCTCAACTGAACATTTAAACTTCAAATTAACCAAATATTTGCCCAAATTAGACCAAATTATACCTAAGACCTACTCTAAAAGGAAAGGTCAAAGTATGAGGAGAGTAATAAAAACTTATCTTTTTTGATCCATTTTAACTTAGAAGATGTAAACCTTCACACGTTTAGCATATCTAATGACAAGTAGGCTGGAGTATCTTAGAGATTTGTGGTATGCTTTATGCTGTATGCAATAGGTGTCCCCTAAAATATGCTATATAAAGAAATAAAAGGAAGAAAATATTGATTATGGATTCCACCAAAGTCCAAAATGAATTATAAAACAGATAGATTTAAAAAAGAATACCATAGGAAAAGTCATAGAGAGAGTCATGGAAAAAATTGGTCCTAATAGGACTAAGTCTTAGAATAGCAATAATCATGGCCACAATGTTTCCATGAAGCTTTCTGTCTATAAGCCAAGGCAAATATCTATCTGTTCTAGTGAAGTCCCATGAAAGTAATATGTGACTCTTCAAATATGTTTGAACATCTCTCTCTTTTAAAGGAAGAAGTCTGGAATGTCTCATATCTGGATATATCTCTTGGGGGATTAATGTCCTCTCCTGGGTCAAACTTGAGCTCTCCTTATCCTTCTGTGAGGCAACAGTCACCAAAAAATGATTCTTCCTCTTTTTTCTCTTTCCAATTCTCTTACATTATAATTCACTTTGCTTAAAGAAGTCATTGAATGTCCATTTTTCTAATTCAGGACTTCAAAAGGAGAAAAACTAAGGCCAATTTTAGACATAGCAATACACAATCTTAAAAGTTGAGAACCAGGCCTGGGGTGTTGTAATGACAAAGTGAGCAGACGGATGGTTTTCTCTCCATGCAGAAGATGAGGTGGATAAGACTGTTCACCATAGAACTCTGCAAGCAGCACCATGGAAAGCAGGGGAATATTGATTCTTAGTCTTAAGTTCATAAATAATTAATAAGTCCATTTAAAGATACAAGCATTACTATTTTTCCCTGGCTCAATAGTATTCAAAAATTCATTATATTCAGTATCCCATAAAAAGAGACTTCACATCTTCCAAGGAGTCACTCATTGTTCCTCCTTCCCCAAGACTTCCCTGACCATCCAGCCCTCACCAGACTCCTTTCTCTGAACTTCAAGAGCATTTATTGCTTGTAGCACTGACTGGGATTAAGCTGCTATATACCTTTTTTTTTCTTTAATAAACATAATTCCAATAGATAGTAAAACCCTCCAGGGTAGAGAATCATGTTAAATTCCTCTTACTATCCCCAGTTCTTAAGCTGGAGCCTGATCCACAGCTCATAAACGTTCAGTAAATGCTTGTTGTTAATGATGATATGTTTTGGACACATCTGAAACATAATCTGGATAAACACAATACAGGAAAAGTGAAAATCATCATCTAACAAACATGCAAGCCAAGAAATCAATATGAGAGCTGTCTGAGCACCAAGTGAAAGACAAAGTAACACCCTCCTCCCTGCTCCAACATCCAACATGGTGATGGATGATGCTACATAAAATTATCGATAAAGACCAATGTAGTCACAATGATTTCTGAGAAGGCGCAAGAAATATTAGATGCAGAATGTAACATTACAACAAAGGCAACAGAACAGGGAGGCCAAACATAGCAAAACAGATGCATTCAGTTGATGAAGAACCTCTTTGCAAAGAAGTAGCTTCAAGTACAACGAAAGCATGGTGTTTTCACTTCTTCCCATTCTATCTTCCCAGCTCAGAGACTGATTTTTCACCAGTTGCCTCTGAATCCATGAGATGCCCAGCACTTGTCCCTTAAACAAGGGGACAAGAAAGCAAACTCAGGCATTTAACCGTTGCCAAAACAAACCCAACCCTTTCGCGTGAGTTAAGTTCTCACAGTAAGAATGAGGTTGAGTAAAGTCACACAATTCTTATATATGTACACAAGAAAACATAGAACACTTGATTCCTTGTCTGGATTTCTGTCTTTTTGCACAAGGTTTGGGTTAAGTTAGTAGCAGAAAGTTTGTGCCAAATCTATCCTAGTGATGACCCTCATTTTGTCTTTCTCTCTCATTTACCTTTCTCTAGCATACCCTTTTTTTTCATCCAGGAAGGGACACTTAGAAAGCTCTACTGTGTTTAGTGAAAGTATAGCAAACATATTAAGCACTAGTATCAAAATGACTGATGTGAAGCAGAAATCAGACCAATCTAATTGTCCCTGGGCCCTGGCCAACACCTGAGGTGAGGGTGAGAGGATGTGGACCACAGGTTGATGTTTTCTCTCAAAATTGTATTTGCCCTGCTATTACATGATCAGCCCAGATAGAATGATTATTTTAATTATTCACTTCATTGGAACTGATTTGACTTATTTTCAATACCATTTATTAGCTCTTTGGTTTAATTAACTAATCTACAACCTATGAATTAGTACATCTTCTCCTTACATCATCTACATCCATGCTTTTCAGTCACCTTCAAAATCTTGAATGAAATAATGAACTTGTACAATTAATTGGTTATACAGACACAACTCTAGGGACCTGATTTTTCTCCAATCTTAGTAATCCTTTCAGTGTATAAAATCCAGCATATAAAGGAAATAGAGATTATAATCCATAGATTAATTGATGGATAATAGCAATGATTTCTCAAACCAAACTATAGCCAAAGGAAGACCAATGCCATCATCTGTCTTTGAAACAATTGGCCTATGGCATCTTTCTGTGGGCCGGAATTCTCATTTAAAAAAAAGAGGTTTTGTTCCAGGAAAAAAATGTATCAATTATTCCCAAATTTAGTGAATGCAAGAACCCATCCTTATAAGATATACTTTTCCTTCGAGGTTCTGGAAACATAGACTTGAAATGATTGGTATACTCACAATCATTCAGGTCCTGTTGATACAGTGGGCTGAGGTGCTCTATCCCTTTTCCTTATATGTAGATAGAAGTGGGAACTTCTTGGTGAGATGAACTCACATCCAGACACACCCAGAAAGAAAACTGGAAAGGGTCTAAATAGAAACACAAAGAGGCTCATTCAGCATGGTTATTCTTTAGGATATGGAGGCAGCCCCCATATCCTGTGAAGGAGTAATGGTTAGAGCCGGCAAGGGACACTATGGGGTGAAAGATGGGATTTCCCAGCTAGATGGCACTAGGACACATCTGTGACATCCATGGGTGCTATTACTAGGGCAGAACAGAGAGATACAGTTAGCTTTCATACTTCCGTAGACATACTTCTGTAGACAAGGTCCCATATGGAATATAGATTAAAGTGAGTATAGGTGGGTATGCCATATCTTCTTAGGTACATTGCTACACTGGATGGTCTACCTGGAGTGGCATATGTGTTGTTCTTATGCATATGTAGATATGAGCATATACAAATATCCTCATACACAGATATGGGTCAAAAGAGGCATAGACATAGATTGACGGCTATTGTTATAACAAGTGGACATCAAGTTTGAAGAAGGAGATTAGCATCTGCTGAGTGTGTATTGTATGCTAAGCCTTTCTATACACTTTTTCATTTAACCTTCATAGTAGCTATAGAAGGTAGCTATTATTGCCCCACATTTACCAAAGAGGAAACTTGATGGATTTCATACAATTTAAGGAGCTTGCCCAAGGTCATAAAACTGGATAGTTACAGGGTCTGAATTAAAATACAGTTCTGTTGAACTTCATAACTGTAATATAGTCTTCAAAACCATAATACAGTCATGCCTCACATCACATAGACTTGCTATGGTTTCTTGTAATGTGCAAATTAATTCCAGGGAATATGGTTTGTGGTATGTTTGCACAAACAATACTGACATGTGCATTACACAAAATGAAAATAACATATATGCAAAAGTTTGATCTGGGTTGGATGGCGAACATATATAAAAAGTTAAATACATAAAACATTCCACTTTTCCCCTTTTTACCTCAAGATAATTATTAAAGAACCCCATCATAGAAAAATACACAAGAATGAATTCCAATATATAATTCAATAAACTTAAGAGTCATTTAAAGAATATTAAGCTTATTTTAAAGTTGACATATCAAATCCACATGTATACATAATTAAAGCCATTCACTATTTGCCTGAAAATGCTTTAGCATTAAGGTAACAACATGAATTCCAGTTATATTTCCTCTTTATGTTGTAGGAAAAGCCATTTCCATTGAGATTGTTGATGCTTACTCGCTTAACTATGGTCCATTGTCATTGAAGACTTGGTGATCTTTGAGTAGCAATCTTTCAATTATTTTCTTGTCTAGAAAGTAAATTGCTTTATAAATTGTGTTTCTGTGAGACAGATTAAAGAAAGAAGTATATACATTGAACAAATAGCAAAGTGTCTGGCAGAAAAGTGCTAAGTAGAAGTCACTGATGGTGTTTATGACCATAAAGAAGAAGAAAAGGAACCAGAGGAGAGAGAAGGAGCTGAAGGAGGAGAGAGATATAAGAAGATAGGAGAAGAAGAAGTAGATGGGATTCTGGGGAGACAGAAACAATGAAAGTGAAAATTTGCAGTTCTTTTCTTAAATGTCAAAGTTTTACCCTGAAAGCAACGAAGATTTGAAATAAAAAGGAAATTTAAATATTTGTCAGGCACCTTACAAGTCATCCTATTCTTCATTATGGATATTGGGCAGTTCTCTGTTTTTATCTGAGATTGATTAGCATTGCTGTAAGCCAAAGAAGAATGTGTTGAGAACTGAAGCCATGACAGAGATTGTGGAATTGAAAGTCAGAGAAAAAAGCAAGCAGCACTCCATCAAGTTGTACTTTGGGTACTGGAAAATATGTATATTGTGCTGTTTACAAATCATCATTTTTGCCCCCAGGTAAAGGTGAACTCTGGCACTCCAACGCCAGATAGAAGCTTACTCTTAAGATAGAGGGATTTTTTTTTTTTTTGAATGTTTCAGATACCTAACAAACTCTATCTGAAAGGACAGGTCAGCACCTAGGCAACTGGGGGGGGGGTATATGTTGTCATTAAAAGTAAAATTTCACTTAGCAAATTTCCTAAGTGGATTTTTGTCATATTAGGCCCCAGTCTTTGTCTCTTTCATTTATACTGGGGAACACTGAAAATTGAATTAATAAAACTTAGCAATCATAAAAAGGCTACCATTTATTGAACACTTAGGATATGCATGGCATTACTCTCCATGTTTTATATCATTTTATATGCAATATAACTCTATAAAGAAGGTGCCATATAGAGATGAGAAATATGAGGCCAAGAGAAGTTAAGTAACTTGGTTAAAATCACACAAGTAGTAGGTGACAGAGCTAAAACTCAAACCCAGGGGCTAGCTAAAGCCAGAGCCCTTTCTATGGTCTACATTCTGTGCTTAGCTGATGTCTGGAACACCTGTATTAGTGCCTGACACACAGGAGGCACATAGTAATGCTCGCCCTTGGTTGCTTTCAGGAAGTATTGACCTTGAATTGTTACCTCTTTCAGCAAATTCTATTTTAACATGTGTACAGTTTGGGAGAGTATTATATTTCTGTTTTGGAGACCCTGGATCTTAGCTTAGAATTCTAGCACTGGGGCCAGGGATTTAGCTCAGCCATGCCATGCCAGCCTGGCAAGCACAAGGTCCTGAGTTCAATTCCCGGTTCAAAAAAAAAAAATCTAGCATCATTCCCCGAGCTCAAGAAACCACGAGTTGAGAGGTCAACAGTTCAAAGTTGCCTACAATTGAGGAAGTGAGAAGGAAGACATCCGAAATTCCTTTTCCATCCCATTCTGGCACATTCATACTTACATAATCACATGAAGGTAGATAGACAGACAGATAGATAGATAGACAGACAGACAGACAAATAGAATAGGGGGGCTCCAAAGCTGGCCTTATTTCCAGTAGATAGTCTCCTGAGCTATTAGAGAACTGTAACAAATTGTAGCAATACCACAGTAGCCACCAATTAATCATTGTCTCTGTAAGAAGACATACCAGTCAAGGAGAGCTGGTGTTTGAATAAATCCCTTTTTTTTTTTGGTACCAGGAATTGAACTCGGGACCTTGCACTTGTGAGGCAGGCTGTGGAACCACTGAGCTAAGTCCCTGGCCCATCCCTTTGTTTTTTATTTCCAGTCAATTTTTCTTCTTGTCCTAGGATAGCAAGATGATTGAAAAAATAGAGGCCCATAGATGCCTAAGGTTCACATTAGAATATAACTCACTAGAATGTAGCTTGTCTGTTTCTTGGGCAAAATACCCTTTGATTAAAACATTTCCACTGACTCTGAAAAATGCCTTACTGGATAAAAGTGTGTATGGGGTCCTAATCAGTTAAAATATTTAGGAAATGCAACGTTCTCTGTCACCCTTACAGAAATGTAAAATGTGTATTTTGCATAATAAAATTTCCCACAAATCCTGCCATAAATTTTTAACTTAATTTCACTCATAATTTTCATGCCTTTTGGACAATATTTTTATTGTTTATTTTATTATTTTTCCAACCTTTAAATACCTATTCATATCCAGAGGTACTAGTATTCTTGAAATTAATTTTGAATCACATTGAAAAAAGATTCAGAGCGATTTCTCAGGATGTCTCTTATTAATAATAATGGTGGAAATTATGATAATAATTTCCCTTCATTGATACTTCAGTATTCATACTATCTAATTTGAGAATATTACCATATCTTTGTAACAGGTCTCCCTAACCCTCAACTTCTCCCATCTGATTAATTCTCTGTATTTCTATTAGATTTATCTTCCTTAACTTCCTCTTCTGTCAACCGCCCATGACACCCCACTGCTCTCAGAAAATCCAACTTCACAGCTTGGCATTTGATTTCATTTCAGTAACTCCTCCCCCAACTCTCTTAATCCACTATTCTCCAAAGTGAGTCCTTCAGTTAATTTATCAAGACTTACTCTGGTCCCTAAAGGGGGCACACACCTTCCTAGCACCCTGCATCCCCTTTCTCCCCCTTTGTAACTGTACACAGGTGTTTCTTGAAAGACTGTGAATTTCTCTGAGAGCAGAGGTTGTCACCTGCACGTCAGTGTTTCTCTCATAACACCTGGCCTTGAGTCTTGTACCCAGCATGTTATAGGTACAGTCGACCATCAGCACAACCTTCGCCTCCTAGCTTATGTCTCTCAAGACTGGATGTCCACAAGCAGAGCCACTTTAGATGAGCCAACATTTAGAAACTCATGTGACTTTATTTTTAAGTTGAACTACAGTGATAAAGGCTTTTTAACATAGAAGTCAGAAATATGTAAAATATTTGCATTTGAGGGGGAAAAAGTAACTAATATTTTACTGCTCTATTTTTAAAAAATTTATTGCAAGTCAGAAGATCTGGATTTGGATACCAGTTCTGTAGCTGATACCTGAGTGATCTTGAAAAAAGCCATTTAAGTCCTTCCCCCACCCCGGCCACCCTGTGCACTAGTTCCTTCCACGGAAACACAGGAAGTATAATGCTTAAACGCCGAGGTTATTGTGGGAATGAACTGTAATAATTGCTGTGAGGCCATATAAATTATAAGGGACTCTGTAAATGCTAGTTATTAGTAAGAAAACATATCGAGAATCTCCAATTTTTCTTTAAGCATTGTTAGAGGTGGTTCTAACTGTCTTAAAATAATTTGTCATGAAATGTGTGATGATTTGTGTCTGTATGACTGCTCCCACATTCCAAGTCTAACTCTGTTGGTATTGACAGTCAGCAGAGTCTACTTCTAATAAAGAATTCTTTTCTTTAGTGTTTCAAACTAAACTTCTTTAGCTGATGGCTAAACTTCTTTAGCTGATGGCTAAACTTCTGTAGTAACCCAATTAAGTATTAGGCCTAAAATTTCCATTCCAGATGCTGATTCTGGCCCTGGAATTTCAACTAAACATTCACACACACACACACACACACACACACACACACACACACACGTAGGTATTCCCCCCACCCCCCTTCCTTCTTTACCTCCTCTCCCCCTTTCTTTCCTTCCCTTCATTTCCCTTCCTTTCTCTCCTTCCTTCCTTCCTTCCTTCCTTCCTTCCTTCCTTCCTGCCTTCCTGTTTTCCATCTCTCTTGCCATTCTTTTTTCCCCTCATGCCTCCATCTCCCTTTCTTCTAACAAGAGTCTAGAAATATTCCCACCAGAAAATGTTACATGTATCTGTGACTAGTGTCACATTTTGCCTCTCCCCTGCCTTAGTCTTCCTGAAACACTTGTGAAGCCTCCTCACTTTCTCTAGAGACAGACACTAGTAGGTAAACTGTACCTAACTATGTGTTATTTACCAAGGAGGTCCCAGAACAGACTACAAAGTTAATGTACAATCTCCTATTCAGGCTACTTGGTTACTGCAGAAAATTTTCCGAGCTCCACAGCCTATAGGGATGAGCTCTTTCTATGGTGTGATGGGAATTAATTGACTCTCTGGATCTGGATGTTCTCAGAGTCCACATAAAGGCCCTTATTTCCACAATGAATTGGAAAGCCAGCAACTCTGGTTTCCTGCATATTCAGTTTGTAGATCATTGATCTGATAAGGTATCAACTCAGCATCTTCTGGGTGTCCTTAGCTCCTTGGACACACATGCCTCCATCAGGAGCCTCAGGTCAGTATCTGCATGACAACCACTTACAGGCTCAACTGCTCAGACTTTTGACATTAAAACTTAATATTTCCTCTTTCCTTGGAACATACAAGGCCATAGAAAATAATATTCCCTGGGAAAGAATAGGAGGAATGCCATCGATGTCCAATTATAAACAAGAGAAGCCCATAAAAATATAATTACAGAATTTCTAAAGTGGAATAAAATGTAATAAAGTTATCTGCAAATTATTGCACATTAAGGCTAACCTTAAGGGTAAGGCTTCTTTTTAAATAAAGTATGAGATTGTGAGTTGTGTGTATTGATTATCCTGAAGGGACAGTGTTAGCAATTCTTTAATCAAATGTACTCATAACGCACACTAAGAAAGAGAGACCCGAAATAAGAGAGGTGACCTGGAAACTGCTCTTCCAGATTTCCAGGACGGTCGCTTTCAGAAAAGCTTATCTTCCAGTGACTGACGCATGTTACACGGGCTAGCTGGAATGTTTTGGGAGAACGCTCAGAACTTGATGGCATTCCCATCTCATCTACTGGTACAGCTATGTTCTCAATTTCAGTATACAGATCAATTCAGTTTTTCACGACCACTATCTCGCCCACGCAGAGGAAACCACATACTCTGCTCCTGTGTTTTCATAGGCGGATTGTCCATAGCAGCTTTCCCAAAGTCATCTCTCTCTTCCGCTTAATACAGAGCTCCAACTAGAATTAGTGATCTAACTCACTACTCTTTCCTATGCTTTCTGTGGGCTTTGAAATCCACCCCACCCCCAACCCCGCTTTCTGTGCACTGGAATGCAGGAGTCTGCAACAGGTCCCTTCACTTGAATCACATGATTCACATGTGCTAAGTGCTCACTTTATATTTGTTGAATAAAAGAATGAATGGATTCAGAATGCATTCAGCCAGGGACCTGGATTCTCTGAAGCATCCAGTTTTCCATGGGATCTTTACATTGTTAATATGTGAGAGACTGAAAAGATTCCTAAACTCTGAGGATTGGTTCTGAACAGAAGGGATTTTAGCCTAAATGCAAGCAGTGAAGCCTTGAGTTGTATGTCTTTGGATTGTACCTACTCAATCTATTTTTCCATCGAGGGCTCATAAGCACATTTCCCTACTTCTGTGTTTAAACCCCCAACAGCCCTCATTATATTGCTCTGTTCAACAAATGTGAATGTCCAGCTCTTTCTGCTCCTTCCATCCCCAGATAATTTAGAGTTGACTCTAATAAAATGTTTTGCAACTTACAGCATGTAGTTG